ATTCCTTTTCTGGTTAAAGATGCAGGGGGAGTGGTTTGGTGGAGAGGGAGGGGAGGGGAGGGGGGAGGGGTTTGGTGGAGAGGGAGGGGAGGGGGGAGTGGTTTGGTGGAGAGGGAGGGGAGGGGGGAGGGATTTAGTGGAGAGGGAGGGGAGGGGGAGTGGTTTGGTGGGGAGGCGAGGGGAGGGGGAGTGGTTTGGTGGAGAGGGAGGGGAGGGGGAGTGCTTTGGTGGAGAGGGAGGGGAGGGGGGGAGTGGTTTGGTGGGGGGGAGGGGGGAGTGGTTTGGTGGAGAGGGGAGGGGAGGGGGAGTGGTTTGGTGGAGAGGGGGTGGAGGGGGAGTGGTTTGGTGGAGAGGGAGGGGAGGGGGCGTGGTTTGGTGGAGAGGGAGGGGAGGGGGGGTGGTTTGGTGGAGAGGGAGGGGAGGGGGAGTGGTTTTGGTGGAGAGGGAGGGGAGGGGGGAGTGGTTTGGTGAAGAGGGAGGGGAGGGGGGAGTGGTTTGGTGGAGAGGGAGGGGAGGGGGGAGTGGTTTGGTGGAGAGGGAGGGGAGGGGGGAGTGGTTTGGGGGGAGTGGTTTGGTGGAGAGGGAGGGGGAGGGGGGAGTGGTTTGGTGGAGAGGGAGGGGGGGGGAGTGGTTTGGTGGAGAGGGAGGGGGGGGGAGTGGTTTGGTGGAGAGGGGGGGGGGGGAGGAGTGGTTTGGTGGAGAGGGAGGGGGAGTGGTTTGGTGGAGAGGGAGGGGAGTGGTTTGGTGGAGAGGGAGGGGGGGGGAGTGGTTTGGTGGAGAGGGGGGGGAGGAGGAGTGGTTTGGTGGAGAGGGGGTGGAGGGGGAGTGGTTTGGTGGAGAGGGAGGGGGAGTGGTTTGGTGGAGAGGGAGGGGAGGGGGGAGTGGGTTTGGTGGAGAGGGAGGGGAGGGGGGAGTGGTTTGGTGGAGGGGAGGGGGGAGTGGTTTGGTGGAGGGGAGGGGGGAGTGGTTTGGTGGAGGGGAGGGGGGAGTGGTTTGGTTGGAGGGGGGGGGGAGTGGTTTGGTGGAGAGGGAGGGGAGGGGGAGTGGTTTTGGTGGAGAGGGAGGGGAGGGGGAGTGGTTTGGTGGAGAGGGAGGGGAGGGGGCGTGGTTTGGTGGAAAGGGAGGGGAGGGGGCGTGGTTTGGTGGAGAGGGAGGGGAGGGGGCGTGGTTTGGTGGAGAGGGAGGGGAGGGGGGAGTGGTTTGGTGGAGAGGGAGGGGAGGGGGGAGTGGTTTCCAGTTGATGCTACGGCTATGCTAACATGCTAACAAAATCGCGTACTGCACCTTTAAGTTTACTTAAGGGACCTTTATCCTCTGCATTTGACCCGTCCTTTCAAAACCACAACACCCTCTTTCAGGACGACAAAAGTGATGATAAATGAGTCAAAATGATCCAAATTTGGCAAAATATATTTTAATTTGAACACATTCTGACTGAGTCTTAAAACCAGATTTGCCGATGGGACAAAGTAAAATAGATAAAAGAAAATTGGAATAATATTTAAGCAAGTTAATGAAATAAGACTAAAGGGCTTTTTTTTGTGACTCAAATTAAGATAAAAAACACCAGATTTAAGCAACAATTATCTCATATTTTATAGTATTGGAGCTTTAAGCGAATCAAAATTTTTATAAAGTCTAAAGGCTAAAAGTAATATACACAAAAATAAAATGTAACTGAATCTAACCTCTCCATGTTTCACACAGACCCGTCTCCGGCCCCGGCAGCGAAACCTCGACCGTGAGCGATTAATGCTAGCTGCGCTAACGAGGACGGCCCCGAGACGCTGTTACATGTTTTATGCTTTTGTTCTATATAAAAAATAAAAATGCTTTGTTTTAACCCGGACATTGGTTAAAAAGCCTTTCCAAATCTCACTAATCGCTGCTGAATCTTGCATGACGACCTCTTTAAACGCCGCTTTTGTTATTTGTGGAGAAGGCCGAGCGGGGCAGGGCCTTGGCTTCCTCTTCCTCTCCTTTCCATGTTTTTACACATATATGTTATTGATCTTTCTGCTTTTTTTCGCTGCGGGGGGCATTCTCCGACTTATTTAACCAAAGCGCGTGTGGAAGCAAGGCCACTGTCCGTCCCGGCGAAAGCTAACGCCGGCTAACAAGGTGTGTAATCTACTTTAATCAGCTCATATCTTATAAAACAAGGCCAGGACGCGGGCATTAAGTCGAAGCAGGAAGCAAAAAGGCGAGCTGGTATTTTGAGATTGGATGTGACAACTTGGGGACTGAGACTGGATTTTACATGCATGACTGTGTAATGAAGCCATGCCAAATGGTCAGTTATGGTTAGCATTAGCCGCCGGAGGTAATGGAGGCTAATGTGCGGCGCTGACGGGCAGGAGCCGAGGGATCCCGGATCAGGACGAGCCGCGGTGTCGTGCAAAATGTATGAATGAAATTAGAATTGTACCGGAGGAGGTGGAATAACTCCGGGAACGCCGTGGGAGCCGTGGCACAGATGTGGTTAGCAGCAGAGAGACTTTAAGTATTTACTGTTTGTCACTACCACAGCTCTTCTCTTTGTACTGCTGTCAGACTGTACAAAGAACAATGCATTTAGATTCGATTTGGAATACATTTGCAAAAGTCCCCGGTGTGCACAAGACGGGGTTTAAGAATGAAGGTTGTGGGTTCGAGTCCACCACTAGACTTCCCCCACATTAGAATGAGTCTGGTGTGTGTGTGAATGGTTGGTGGTGGTGGGAGGGGCTTCTGTCAGTGTGCCCCAGGGCAGCTGTGGCTATAGTAGTAGTGAATGAATAATAACATTTGAAGCGTCTTTGAGTGTCCAAAAAAGCGCTGTATAAAACCAATTTTTTTTTAAAGTCAAGTACATAAATGTTATTGCTGACCTCACATGTGGCATACAACAATATCAGGATGAACTAGACATGTATTTTTTCCTATTCAATACAATTAATTCTTGTATTTCCCTAAATCACAGCAGCATCATCTCAGAGACTTAACAAAACCATTGAAATCAACACAGATCAGAGAATCAACAGTTAACACACATAAAGAATATAGAACACATGTTGATACATGTCATACATGTAGAATGTTAAAGTGTCCTGAATCATCACAGCCCTTCTAGTCGGACACTAACTGTCGCACGGCGCCGTAAAGATGGCGCCGTGGCAAGAGCTCTGGTGTGTGTCGTCTGGTGCACACTGGGGTAGTCTTGCACAGTTTTTCCAATGTGGTTTTACTGCAAATGGCAAATAAATGAATCTGAATCTGAATCTAACTACACAGACTCCTGCATCAGAGGAACAACTCACGAAAACTTCAGAATTCCAGTCGCACTCTTAACGTTGTGTTGTGTCCGGCGTCCCTCACTTCGCCGCCGCCGCCGCCGCCGTGTTGTCATCACCATTCTGACCATGATCCGTTTTATATCTTTACACTGGCTGCTTCATCGCACTATGTTTTCAATCATTTTTTTTCCATTTTTTTTTTGTTCTCCCGGTTCTTCCCTCTTCCTCCCGCGCCATAAATTGTTTCAGATTCCGCAACAGCAGCCTGGCTTATGAATATATGAATACATAAAGCATATATCCGCGGCGAGGACCCCGGGAAGCTCCGGTAGCCAGACAAGGTAATGGAGAGAGAGCCGTAATATAGTGCCAGGACCAGCGCCACTTGTTAGAAAAGCTTTACCTGCTTCTCAATGAACAGTAGACACCATTAAAATATAAGCGCCCCAGTAATACAGAAGCCAGTACAGCAGCTGGACAAGTCATTTAGATGTATTTCTAGCAATAAGCTAACGGATAAATGTGTATGTAGCTAAAGCGTAGTGCAGTAGCAGGAGTGAGTGAGGACCGAGGCAGGACACAGAAAACTGATAGAAAGTCACGAGAAATGGAATGAGTTGTGTTAAAGCTAGGGTATGTAACTTTACTGCCACTTTGTCCCATAGCCTCATGCTAATGCTAATGCGCGCAGATGTATGCATACAACTATACATGTCTTGCACTGGAATAAACAGTATGCTTCTTTATTATGCTAATGCTAGATATTGTATCCTTGCCTCTTTATGATGCTACAGTTAGCCATTCTTTATGATGCTACAGTTAGCCATTCTTTATGATGCTACAGTTGGCCATTCTTTATGATGCTACAGTTAGCCATTCTATACTTGATTCTTTATGATGCTACAGTTAGCCATTCTATACTTGATTCTTTATTATGCTAATGCTAGAGATTTCATATGGTCTAAAACAATGAAACAAGAATGATATCCCTGTACATGAGATGACTTCTTTTCTTTTAGAATGTGTTTTATGTATGTCTTTCTGGATTGGAACTTTAACTCTTGTGTCAAAAAGGCATCCATCTATCTATCTATTGTATCTATCTACTGTATCTATCTATCTATCCATCCACCCATTTAATGTATCTACTGTATCTATCTATCTTTGCTTTTTATGATGCTACAGCTAGATATTTTATGTGTTTTTTATTATTGCATTTCCTGCCACGTTCGAACAGTTGATTCTCTGATCTTGTTGGAGAATCGTCAACTTTAGGGCCTGAAGATGCCCCTTTAGGCTCCGCTTGCATTAACCGCGTCCGCAAACGTTTTCTAATTTGTTTATTTACATTAACATGGCATCACAACAGTCTCTGCAGCGTTCTCATTTAGCCGAGCCCGTAGCCCGCATGCTCCAGCCTCTTTCATTTTTCTTATTATATCATGATTATATAAACATTCTCCTCCGGTCGCTATGGCAGCCGCAACAAATTACAACAAATTAGCCCCATATTGCCGGTTTTTAGCGGCGGCGAAATGAACGGGCTCCACATGCGCCGAGTTTGTCCATAAATCAGAGCGTTGCCACCTGTTGGGAGGAAACAATCGCTGATGAAAGCTTTATTTCACAACAATCCACTCGCACAGGTTCACGGCGAGATCGTCCCGGCGCCACGGTGGAACGGGTAGAGCCTTTACCTCACCGCAAGAAGGTCCCGATTTGACTCTACCACCAGGAGAAACCCAGGATAGAGCTGAGATAGAGCTGGGATAGAGCTGAGATAGAGCTGAGATAGAGCTGGGATTGAACTGGGATAGAGCTGAGATAGAGCTGAGATAGAGCTGAGATAGAGCTGAGATAGAGCTGGGATAGAGCTGAGATAGAGCTGAGATAGAGCTGAGATAGAGCTGGGATAGAGCTGGGATAGAGCTGAGATAGAGCTGAGATAGAGCTGGGATAGAGCTGAGATAGAGCTGAGATAGAGCTGAGATAGAGCTGGGATAGAGCTGAGATAGAGCTGAGATAGAGCTGAGATAGAGCTGAGATAGAGCTGAGATAGAGCTGGGATAGAGCTGAGATAGAGCTGAGATAGATCTGAGATAGAGCTGAGATAGAGCTGAGAAAGATCTGGGATAGAGCTGGGATAGAGCTGGGATAGAGCTGGGATAGAGCTGGGATAGAGCTGGGATAGAGCTGGGATAGAGCTGAGATAGAGCTGGGATAGAGCTGGGATAGAGCTGAGATAGAGCTGAGATAGAGCTGAGATAGAGCTGAGATAGAGCTGAGATAGAGCTGAGCTAGAGCTGGGATTGAACTGGGATAGAGCTGAGATAGAGCTGAGATAGAGCTGAGATAGAGCTGGGATAGAGCTGAGATAGAGCTGAGATAGAGCTGAGATAGAGCTGAGATAGAGCTGAGATAGAGCTGAGATAGAGCTGAGATAGAGCTGGGATAGAGCTGAGATAGAGCTGAGATAGAGCTGAGATAGAGCTGAGATAGAGCTGGGATTGAACTGGGATAGAGCTGAGATAGAGCTGGGATAGTAAAAATAACAATTGTAAAGCGCTTTGTGACTCTGGTCTGTAAAAATCCCGATATGAATTAATATACCAATTAAGTATTTTTTATATAGCGCATTTTACAGACTAATGTCTCCCAAAGCACTTTACAATGTTCAGAGTTCAGAGAGTTTTCCATTCTCTCCACACGGTGATGTCGTCAAACACACTGGACCATCAAAGCCTCCGACCACACACCGTCCATTCAATCACCTATGGTACATGTCTTTTTTTGGTAGAAGAAACCGGAGCACCTGGAGGAAACCACTCAGAAAGGCCCTGTTGCGACCGAGATTCGAACCCTGGGCTGGGTTAAAGCTGAGATAGAGCTGGGGTACTTGGGTCTATGTAACGCACGGTGTCTCAGTCCTGAATGAAATTTACATAATTTACATTTTCACCTCTGAATTCGTGGAATCCGAGTCTTTGTCTAACCATTCTGTCAGCGCCAAGTTGCATCAGATTAGCCTAGATTCAACTTCATTGTCAATCCAAATTCTTGAGATGCAGTTTAGCCTCTAACCCAGGGGTGTCCAAACTTTATAGTAAGAGACTTGAAATCATCAGACTTGACCTGGGGCCGACAACCTGGGCATAAAAACTGGATTTTAGCCGGATTTACTAAAATAAAAAATGGGTATAGCATGACTGTATTGGTGAAGTTGAAGTTGGTTGGATGACACTGTCAAAGTGCCTCTATGGCGACTTTGTGTTAGCCACATAAAATTGTGAGGGCCGTGGGCCTGAGTTGTGCCTGATCTAACCAGTCGCTCAAGTATAGGATAATATGTCCAACACTGATAAATACATATGTGTGAGACCGCACAGAGCTGCTAATGTGAAACCCAGCTCTCCACAAACTCTCTGAAGTTAGTTTCCCGCCGCCGTCTTGCCTGTGTTCATCTTGAATGTTGCGTGACGAGGGAGCCATCACCCCCCCCCTGCCGCTGAGGGACCGGCCCCATCATTACCGCAATAATATAGCACCATAACCCCGCAATTAGCCTAATGGAAAGGCTCCTCTCTGGTGGTGGGGACGCATCGGGGGCCATTGATCGTCGCGGCCACCTGTTCTATGGCTCCACCGAGGGCCCGCGTCGCAGCCGAGGGCCCCCCGGAGCGTGCGCATCCCGGCCCCGCGTGCGCCGCCGCGACATATGGATAAGCGGCTGCGGCCAGTGAGGCGCACACGGCGGCACAGTGTGGGAGACAAGCCGGCTTTACGAGCATCAGGCAATAAGGCGAAGGAGCGAAGGCTATTCTCACGCTGCTATAGGTGCAGACGCTGGAGGACACTAATAACACAATAATATGTTTTATTTAACACAGAGTTTGACGATTACAGGCCTTTACCAAATGGTTGAGAAGCAGTTTGATGTCAGACTGTACAATGAGAACTGCTGAGCCTGTAAAATGTCATTCATATGTAAATAAGTTATTACTAAAATCATGTGCAATATGCAATTCTTGTGTTTCATTGAACTGGCCAGTAGGGGGCGCATGAGCAGAGGTGGGACAGTGTTGCTCCCATGTAAAACCATGTAAAGTCTGTTTTGGAGTCAAAGGCTCTCCTCCTGTGCGGTGTACGGTTGTTGGAACAGTCTTAATCGAGGACACTTAATTCTAAGGAAGGACTAACAACTATTTCTCAAAAGAGTCTTGATTTTGGGCATTTTTTTAAAAGAAAAACAGAGGGCGCTTATTTGGGAAAGACTTGATCCGCCTCATTTCAGTGATTTTTCTTTTATATGAGACCACAGTTGGAACATGAACAAACTCTGGTCTTTCTATTTGTGCGGTTGCTACAAGCGTACACCGCACAAAAAGATGGCATTCTGACTGAAGACTGCTAGCTAAGATATTAGCGCTTCTTCTTCTACTATATCTCCGTGAATAAACCCGGCAGACTGCACCGCCAGGATACATCACGTCCGGTCCGGTCCTGTCGCATGTTTGTTATTCGCGCCACTGCCCCGACATCTAATGAAACCCAAGAATACTTCAGAATTTCCACTGTACAATGTCACTTTACTTTAACTACTTATTATCCTGCAACACATGTACAGTATATAACTCTGCACTACGTATATATATTATTTTGATTGATCCACTGTCGTCCAGGCATTTTGGCACAAATTCCCTAAACCTGCTAATGGCTAACATGGTTATCTACTGTATGTGTGAGATAACTGCACAGATACAAAGCAATGGTCAGAAATAAGTGAGATATTACTTCTTAATACATTGTTTAGATCAATGTTGAAAGTTAAAAATATATAACACTGTATTTGGTATTTCACTGCTCATTGTGTTCAGTGGAAAAGAGAATCCATACCTTTACAGAGTGTATATGTTGTGCGTGTTTGTGGTGTTTTACCTGCCTCTGGGGACGGCAGATGGAAATTAGTAGCATCACAGTAATTATATTAGCCCTGCTACAGTTACAGATGTTCATTCATTTGCAACACCACTCTCAGAAACACGCACAGATATATACACACAGTATACGCACAGATATATACACACTATACATACTATACATACATAAACACCTGAGATCATGTTAGTCCATACATTTGACTTGGGAGCAGGTTAAAAATGGGTGTAGCTTGTTTTTCTCCTTTGAACATAATTTTACATACACCCTGTTTGCATTAGCTCTGCTCCTACTTATGAAACCTCTATATCGACCTAAAATGAATCGCTCTTCAGTCCTGCCGCACTGCTCTGGTCTCTGCCCCCCTCGGGACGTACAAGACTCCAGATCAAGTCAACAAGCACAGACGCCTGCTGAGATCACTAAACTTTCCACAAATTTCGAAAAGAAAATCTGCTAACTTAAGCCTTTTCTCTACCCTTCTCTACCCGGATTGGGAGTGTTTCCACCGGCCCAGTTTAACCAGTCCTTATTTAGTCCCTCTTGGCCCTGGTTCTATCCAGGCCGAGCGGGTATTTAAGTGCTGTTTTGCAGTGCCTTAACTTCTCTTTTAATGTTTTTAATGTATTTATTGTCTCGTTTTTAACTTTTGCATCTTTTAATTCTAACCTATGTATGTATCTTTGTATGATTGCGAGCCAGGGACGAGTGCACAATTTCCTTCGGGATCAATAAAGTATATATCTATCTATCAATCAAGAATCAGTCAGTACAGTATATTCAAATAAAGGAAGTTGGATGGATGACCGAGTGAAAGACTACTTTGTGTTAGCAAGGCAGAGGACCGCATAAAATGACAGTGACGGCCGCAATTAGTCCCTGGCCTGAGTTTGCACATGCCTGCCACAGGGGATTAAGCAGTACTATTATTTACACACTTATAACCATTAAAGGAGCAGTATGTAAAAGTGTGGCCAAAAGTGGTACTGCAGCCTCTCCCACTCTCCCTGACTCAGGTTGCCAGATATGCAGACGAATCCAGCCGGGACCATAACAGCTTAATAGACAAGAGTTTTGTCAACAACAAATCTATAACCAACACCTTTTTCACAAAGATAGAAATCCTGGTTCTATTCCTTGTTTTGTTGTTAATGATTTGAGAATCATAACGAGACCTTTTTTAGTTCTGCGCCACATGGTACTTTACCAGTGAGATTAGCTCCACGCCGTGAGTTCTGGCGCCCGGATCACAGACCTTCTGATTGGTGAAACGGTGGAGGGCGGGACATCGAAATGAAAACAATAACAAGATTTAGAGGCTGGAAAAGTAATTTAGAAATTCCAATATCTCTGAACTACTGTTATCAGTTAAAGAAGGATTGGAAAAGAGCAGTTTATAGGGCCCTTCAATTATGACAGATTAGGGCCCTTTAATGATGACAGATTAGGGCCCTTTAATGATGACAGATTAGGGCCCTTTAATGATGACAGATTAGGGCCCTTTAATGATGACAGATTAGGGCCCTTTAATATATATTACTACTTCAAAACATGACGTGGATGGATTGAACTGAAACAGATGTGACTTATACAGGACACAGAGGGAGCAAAGGGAGGCATCTGCAGTGGTACAGGAGCAGAGAGCATTGCATTGTGGGTAGAGGCATATGTTGATGAGGCTCGACGGAGAAAAGCAGGCGATCACTGCCCTCTTTTGTCCAAGTCTCTAAGTGTTCTCCAACCCCTGATGCTCACGCCGCAGATACGCAGCAGCCCATGTGAGGGAATGCAGACGGAGACACACATGTGGCTCGGGTTGCAGGTTGGAGAAAGCAAGTTTTTTTGAGAATTACGGTGAGAAATCTGTTCAGGAATCTGGTTTGTAAGTCCATAAGCAAAATAAACAAGCTACAGATATGCATTTGTTTGAATTATTCAGTCAGAAGTAATTGTAGTCCTGTCTGTCAAAGAAAAAGAAGCAGAAGAGGAGAGATATTGTGGACCATAAAGCACTCGTTAAAACTGGTTTGATTTGTTTTCTATATTTCTAAGAATTCATTTCATAATTCATTGTTGTTGCCTTGATTTATTTCTTAAACAAGTAGATTTTTGCAGATTTTATCACACGCTGGGGGAGGGGAGGGGGTCCGGGTCTGGTACTGTGGGTGATGGTTCAAATCCATCCCACATTGGAAGGAAAAGGAAAAGGTCTGGATTGGAAAACAAACCGGATTCATACTCGGATATTTTGGAACCGATTTTAAGAACTGAGAGTGACACGGCACCGAGAAGGACTTTTCTGGAAACACAACTGAAAGAATCAACACACAAAAAAACAGAGTCTGTAGTGAGCTTTTTAGGGTAATGGGTTATGTAAAGTGTGTGTGTGCGAGAAAGAGAGAGGGAGAGCGTGTGTGTGTGTGTGGGAGAGAAAGCGTGTGTGTGTGAAAGAGAGAGCGTGTGTGTGTGAGAGAGCGTGTGTGTGTGAGAAAGAGAGAGCGTGTGTGTGTGAGAGAGCGTGTGTGTGTGAGAAAGAGAGAGCGTGTGTGTGTGAGAAAGAGAGGGAGAGCGTGTGTGTGTGTGAGAGCGTGTGTGTGTGAGAAAGAGAGAGCGTGTGTGTGTGAGAGAGAGAGGGAGAGCGTGTGTGTGTGTGAGAGAGCGTGTGTGTGTGAGAAAGAGAGAGCGTGTGTGTGTGAGAGAGCGTGTGTGTGTGAGAAAGAGAGGGAGAGAGAGCGTGTGTGTGTGAGAAAGAGAGGGAGAGCGTGTGTGTGTGAGAGAGCGTGTGTGTGTGAGGGAGAGAGAGGGAGAGCGTGTGTGTGTGTGAGAGAGCGTGTGTGTGTGAGAAAGCGTGTGTGAGAGAGAGAGAGGGAGAGCGTGTGTGTGTGAGAGAGCGTGTGTGTGTGAGAAAGAGAGGGAGAGCGTGTGTGTGTGAGAGAGCGTGTGTGTGTGAGGGAGAGAGAGGGAGAGCGTGTGTGGGAGAGAAAGCGTGTGTGTGTGAGAGAGAGAGCGTGTGTGTGTGAGAAAGCGTGTGTGTGAGAGAGAGAGCGTGTGTGTGTGAGAAAGCGTGTGTGAGAGAGAGAGAGGGAGAGCGTGTGTGTGTGAGAGAGAGAGCGTGTGTGTGTGAGAAAGCGTGTGTGAGAGAGAGAGAGGGAGAGCGTGTGTGTGTGTGTGAGAGAGAGAGCGTGTGTGTGTGAGAAAGTGTGTGTGTGAGAGAGAGAGGGAGAGCGTGTGTGTGTGAGAGAGAGAGCGTGTGTGTGTGTGAGAGAGAGAGGGAGAGCGTGTGTGTGTGAGAGAGAGAGAGGGAGAGCGTGTGTGTGTGAGAGAGAGAGAGGGAGAGAGGTGTGTGTGTGTGAGAGAGAGAGAGGAGAGCGTGTGTGTGTGTGTGAGAAAGCGTGTGTGTGAGAGAGAGAGCGTGTGTGTGAGAGAGAGAGCGTGTGTGTGAGAGAGAGAGCGTGTGTGTGTGAGAGAGAGAGCGTGTGTGTGTGAGAGAGAGAGCGTGTGTGTGAGAGAGAGAGCGTGTGTGTGTGAGAGAGAGAGCGTGTGTGTGTGAGAGAGAGAGCGTGTGTGTGTGAGAAAGTGTCTGTGTGAGAGAGAGAACCTGTGCGTGCGTGTATGTGTGAGAGAGCGGGCGTGTGTGCGCGTGTGTGCGTGAGTGTGTGCGCGTGTGTGTGTGCGTGTGTGTGTCTGCGTGCGTGTGTCTGCGTGCGTGTGTGTGTGTGTGCGCGTGTGTGTGTCTGCGTGTGTGTGTCTGCGTGCGTGTGTCTGCGTGCGTGTGTCTGCGTGCGTGCGTGTGTGTGTGTGTGCGTGCGTGCGTGTGTGTCTGCGTGCGTGTGTGTGCGTGTGTGTCTGCGTGTGTGTGTCTGCGTGCGTGTGTGTGTGAGAAAGAGAGAGCGTGTGTGTGTGAGAAAGAGAGAGCGTGTGTGCGTGAGTGTGTGTGCGTGTGTGTGTCTGCGTGCGTGTGTCTGCGTGTGTGTGTCTGCGTGCGTGTGTGTGTGTGTGCGTGTGTGTGTGTGTCTGCGTGTGTGTGTGTGTCTGCGTGTCTGCGTGTGTGTGTCTGCGTGCGTGTGTGTGTGTGTTTGCAATGTGATTATTTGGAGACTGTGTCAATAGACTGTGTCCAGTCTAAGTTTCTGCCAAAGCACTTTCACTCATACATCCACATAAACCAAACCACAGCTAACTGCAGGAGGCCTTGAAAAGACTTTGGTGCTTCAATATTTATCCAAATAATCTTCTGACACTAAGTATGTCCGACTACAATCCTAAAACACAAAACAACAGCAACAACTAGACAATATTTCTGTGATCATTGGACATGGACTGCATCGAGATCCAAACCTGAACAGAACATTCTAAAGTATTGGGGGCAAAAGGCAGCATCAACCCAGCATCAACCCAGCATCAACCCAGCAGCAGCATCAGCAGCATCAGAAGAAGAAGAAGAAGAAAAACAGATAAAAAACACAGCATTTTTAAACGTGTAGCTTGTAGCCCAGACGTTAGCAAAGCGCGGCCCGTTCTCTGTGGCCTTAGGACCTTTTCCCGTCCACAAACTTCATACCGTCTTCCCCCAATTTAAACGAACGGTCAATCACAACCCGAGAATGATTTAGCAACTTCAGGATAGCTACGATGGCATGTTATACCTCATAATAATTCAACAACCATACTAATCCCAATACTCAGCCTTCTCAGACAATTTACAGATATCATACATATTTCATAATCATTTCCATGTTGTCAAAAGTATAAACAGCCGCACATGCTAATGATTGGCTAACCAACTTTACACAAGTGTTAGCGCCACTCACATGTTGGTCCAAATGAAATGGTAACCACAGAAAAGGAAATCCAGAGACAGAACCTGCCCAGTCCTGCTCCAGTCCTGCTCCAGTCCTGCTCCAGTCCTGCTCCAGTCCTGCTCCAGTCCTTACTCAAGAATTATACAAATCATAAATATTAGCCTCAACTTCTTCCAAAACGATACGGAAAAAGCCACATCTGACGTCATAGATATTGATCATGTTTTGATAACGTTTTTCATAGTCTCTGACAACACACATTCATTCTTTGTTATTTTGGGAATTTTTGCCGTTTCAACATATTAGTTATAGATTTTGGGCCAAAATAGTAAAAGACAGAATTGAGAAAAGTGTGGAAATGTTCAGGGTAAACAGATGACGTCGTGCTATAAGTTTGGGACTCACTCAACTAAATAAGAGTGATTATTCTCTTATAGTAATTTAATTTTTCAAACAAAGAGACTGATGGTAGCTCAGATTGCCACGCCCTTTTTACCCAGACATTAAGTGACAAATTGGATAAAAATGACTGAATGTTTGGAGAAGATTAGGGCAAGTTTATTACATGTCATCGATCACAGACAGGAAGTAAATGTATAAATCTAAAACAATGTTCGGGGGGAGAAAAAACCTTAAATACTTAATATAATCTGAAATATATCGGTGTTTGCTGTGTTTGCTGTGTTTTGTGAAAAGTCAAGTCTTCCGTGGACGATGTAAGCATTGTAGAGACAGCACTACCATGCTAAAGCTAAAGCTAAAGCTAATCCGAAGCTAATCGCCTCCAAACAACGGTCAATCTGCTCAATTCTCTCTGATATATCATAAAAACACTTCTACAACTCGTCTCAGTCCTCTCCATTACCTCTGGAAGTGCAATTTAAATGAGGTTAACAAATCAGCTGTTAGCATAACGTTAGCACAACATTAGCATAACGTTAGCACAACATTAGCATAACGTTAGCACAACTTTAGCATAACTTTAGCGCAACATTAGCATAACGTTAGCACTTTTTTTTTAGCACAACATTAGCATAACCATAGCACAACATTAGCATAACGTTAGCACAACATTAGCATAGTTCAACCATTCAAACCACTTCGTCCTACAACTCATGTTCAAATAGCTTTTAACGAATCAGCTGTTTGCACAACTTTAGCAAAACGTTAGCACAACTTTAGCATAATGTTAGCACAACATTAGCATAACGTTAGCACAACATTAGCATACTTCAACCATTCAAAGCACTTCCTTCTACGGCACATGTTCAAATAGCTTTTTCACCACTAAAACAACCCCATGATGAGCTTAAAATGCAAATAACCAATGAATACTTCCAGCAACAATTTCAAAAACCAGCAGCAGAAATGTGACATAAAACCATGAGAAAGAAGACCCAGGCGGGAGTGAGAGAGAAGACCCAGGCGGGAGTGAGAGAGAAGACCCAGGCGGGAGTGAGAGAGAAGACCCAGGCGGGGGGTGAGAGAGAAGACCCAGGCGGGAGTGAGAGAGAAGACCCAGGCGGGAGTGAGAGAGAAGACCCAGGCGGGGGAGTGAGAGAGAAGACCCAGGCGGGAGTGAGAGAGAAGACCCAGGCGGGAGTGAGAGAGAAGACCCAGGCGGGAGTGAGAGAGAAGACCCAGGCGGGAGTGAGAGAGAAGACCCAGGCGGGAGTGAGAGAGAAGACCCAGGCGGGAGTGAGAGAGAAGACCCAGGCGGGAGTGAGAGAGAAGACCCAGGCGGGAGTGAGAGAGAAGACCCAGGCGGGAGTGGGAGAGAAGACCCAGGCGGGAGTGAGAGAGAAGACCCAGGCGGGAGTGAGAGAGAAGACCCAGGCGGGGGTGAGAGAGAAGACCCAGGCGGGGGTGAGAGAGAAGACCCAGGCGGGAGTGAGAGAGAAGACCCAGGCGGGAGTGAGAGAGAAGACCCAGGCGGGAGTGAGAGAGAAGACCCAGGCGGGGGTGAGAGAAGGGGAGGCGGTGGTCCTACCTGCCCAGCTCGGAGTCTCCATGTACGGGTCAAGGTTTGGGCTGAGGCCGGTGAGTCACGGAGCAGCCGGAGCTCACAGGACAACTGCAAAACAAGACAGGAAGGAAACACCATGAGAAACACCATCAAGAACACCATCAGAAACACCATCAGAAACACCATCAGAAACACCATGAGAAACACCATCAGAAACACATGAATGGTTACAATATCACAAGTTATTTTTCCTTTATACTTTTATTTTAAAACACGCACAAACATGTAATTTGTCTTGCGGGCTGTGCCGCTCGATAATATTCTGTTCAATCCCATAGACTAAATATTAACAGATGTAGTCACGCCTTTCTCCGCCGTTCAAACCAATGTGACGTCACTTTTGCCGTCTCTAGGCAGTTTCAAAATGGCCGCAGGGGCTGGAAAATGTGAAACAACACAATAGTGCATGTGTTAGCTGCTGGTCCAAAAAAATACACTCCCCTCAACAACGACAGCGTCTGGACCGTAGCTTTGGAACATACTGTAAAGAGGTAAGAAGATGCTACACATTAGCATTGGCTAATTCTTATTCCGGGTCCACCCCCTCTGGCCCGGGGTGGTATTGCAGCATGTCAGCGCACGTCATTTTGGACATTACTGAGCCTGGACCCGCCCACACTGTTTGTACCATGTGGATAGTTCTAAATCAGGCAGGTCAAACTCAGGCCTGTGTCGAAACGGTCGGCACTAGATCATATACGGAATCGGGACGAAACCGGAAGTAACACTCCTACTTTAGAATTATTTTTAGACTAATAAGTCCTTAAGTAGTGACTGGTTAAGTTTTAGGCGTCTGAGTAAGATGGTTAAGGTTAGGGTTAAGGCTGCGTTGGGGTTATTTTATGGGAATGGCTGGTTAAGTTCTGGCATTAACAGGTAGTTTGTTATATATACTTCCGCTTCCGTCCCGATTCCGTATATGATCTAGTGCTGACCGTGTCAAATACCGCACATAAAATCTGTTGGCAGCAAGGTCAGCTGAGAGATGGGAAGTATATTTCAGTATTTTTTCGGCAATATCTGCGTCTAAGAAAAAAATGTAAAGGTCAAAGCAGATTATTACAAGTGTCAGAGCTGTACAGTGTCAGTGAAAGAGGAGCCTTGAGCGACTCGTATCAATACTGACTTCATTTGTGTAATATCTAGAGCCGGTATTTTTCTGTTTACTGCCGTCTATTGAATGTAAAGTCATTTCCTTCTTCGGGGGCGACGGCCTCGGAGCTGCAGGTGGTGTCGGTGACGGGGTTCTGTAATCGTATGTGTCATATTTACTCAGGAATAAACCCTTTGATTGTGCTTCTGGTTGTTTTCCGTGGTTTTGTTTTCAGCCTGTGTAGAAATTCCACAGAAACTTTACCATACTGTAATATCATTTTAAAGCCTTTTATCTCACATTATAACTGATTATGTTCTAAAATGGGAACTAACATGTAATTAAAGGTAAATAGTATGTAGTTCTTTATTATTTATTTAATTTAATTATCAATTTCACAATACATCTCTTCCTGATATTTGGCCCAGTTCTGGTTGAATCCAAATTAATGTCCAAACTCATGTCAAACACAATAAATTTAACAAAAGATGAAAATATAAAAGACAATAAAATGACACCACTCTTTTACTTTTTTACTTTTAAAACTGGCTCCAACCAAAATGGGTTCTGTGCACGCACCACTTCTGCGTTTTAGTGATAACCCGACTCGACTTCCTGTGCGCGGGGATCGTCTTGAGTTTCACTGGAGTTCAGATGTTTACACGAGTTTCCCAAATAATGCTCAAACTGGAATTAAACTGTGAGGAAGCAGTGCATTGTGGGACACAGCAGGGCTTTTTGATTGTGTTTTTATAAAGTAAACTAATCTCTCTGAGTGGCCACAGTCAAAGCTCTACCTCAGAGAGAAAGCACGTTGACACTTTTGGGTCAGTCTCAGCTGAAAGTATCAATCTAATCACTACACAGCCATAGGATCGCACAGACAGGAAGTGAACGGGCTGTTCTCTGTAAACAGGAAGTGACATCACACCTCCCTGTGCATATAGCTCATCAGTTCGACACCCTGTTTTAAAGAGTCAATATCAACAAATGTGGCGCCCCCTGCAGGTGAAAGTCAGACTCTCACAAAATCAAGTCCAAATCCAAACGTAGTGGAAGCCCCCTCACTCTCTGTCTCAGTGTTTGTGATTATGATGGATTAATATTGTTTGAATGTCTTTGAGGCTCAGGTCTTTATCTATCTAAGATTATTCAGAATTAGGACGGATGGATATTCAGAACCATACACTTCTATCAGAGGAAAACTCTTGGCGGCTTCATCAAACCAGACACACATTTATCCTGTTGCTTCAGTCACTGTCTTGGATGTTTGGTTTTCTAATCTACTATCCACAAAGCAACCATTTTGTGCATCTCCGTGAGTCGCTTTTGGCTGTATGTACGTAAACACATAGATCACAGCAGACGC